AAAAAGGAACCAAAGAGAGTTCACTACAAAAAAGTATCATTTTCCATAGGTATTCAAATGAAAATTTCAATGTATATTCCAGTTGAAAACTATTCCATTACCAATGGAATAGTTTTGCTGAAATTTCCTAGAAATTAGTTGGATAATTTCAATTAATAAAATACCATTAGAATATCCATTAGAATTTTACCGTTCGTTAGAATTTCATCATTTTTCTAGCAAAGGTTTAATCTTAAAATAAAATCGCACGCAACATAATTCATCACACGAACTCACACACACACAAAAAAATACCCCTTCAAAAGTTCTCTAACGCGCAGTTTGCGGGCCCCCCGCGAACGACACTTTCGCTCACGAACCCCATCTCGACCCACCCACACACCATGTACACGTGGGCCCTCTCCTCGCGCCACGTGTTGAGCCCCTCACGCACCATCCCGTCGTACTTCACCTTGAACCTCAGCTTCCGACCGAGCTCTCGGCCCTCGACAAGTGCTGTCGGGACGAACGCGTCTGACACTGGCAAACTCTCGTCCGCGCCACCCGTGCTCACGTTAAACACGAGCCTCTCACCAGGCCCGAGGACGAAGCCCGAGCTCCGGGCCACCCAGAGAAGCTCGTGGTCGAGGAAAACCATGACGACCGCATTCTCGTGGTACAATCTCATCCTCCGGCCCGGGTTAGTGACGTCGAGGGCCAAGTGGCACCTTCCCGAGATGCGGGCCGACGAGGCCCGAAACTCGGTGATCATGAGGGATTGGAGGGCGAAACGGGCCCCGGCCCATGGGCCGGGCCCTTCTGGCCCGAGGGACGGGAGGAGGGAGGCAGCGAGGATGAGGGCGAGAGAGATGGTGGCGAAGGCGGCCACGAGGGCGCAGTCACGATGGCCCGGGAGAGGGTCGTCGGGCCCGTCGATTTCGAGGGCGGTTAGACGGGTATAGGTATAGGGGTGTTGGTTGGGCCCGTGGGCCCGGGGAGGGTGGTGGGGAGGCCCGGTTTCGTCAGACATGTAATGGAAGGTGGTGGTGGACGATGT